ACAGTTCATGGCCACCCAAAACAATTACCATTGTACAATCATAGATAAATGATTACCGACCAAACAAATACAATAATGAAAAAGTTTTCAATATTGCAAGAATTACCAAAATGTGGCACAGAACAACAAAGTGAGCAGATGCTGTTAGAAAAATGGCACTGATAGACTTGCTGAATTCAGGGCTGCCAGAAACCTTCAATTTGTAAAAAAAACACTATCTGTGAAGCACAATAAAGCAAGCAAAATAAAACAAGTATGCCTTTATCAACTTCACCTGATTACTAATGCTATTACTTCTAAAAGTAACACCATTATTCATTTTAAAAATTGAAAACTTCAGTGTCCAACAGAAAACGGTAAGTAAATTGTTATACAGAGAAGAGAATAGTAACTAAAAATAATCACATTGTAGAAAACCAATAACATAAAAAATGTTCAACATTCACTGTTAAGTGAATAGAAGAGCTTGCACAACAGTGGAGTGAGCCCATTCTGTAAACACCATGTCTAAGTGTACATATACAATAGCTAAACAAAAATGCCAGAAGATAATATTGAGGGTTAACAATGGTATTGTTAGGTGGTGGGATTTCCAGTGATAGTTTTAAAATGTAACTTAAGCTTTTTTGTGTGTTTCTCGTTTTCTGCATTGCAGATGCCCTATTTTTATAACTGGGGAGGGGGAAGAGATTAAGAAAGAAAGGCAACTGTTTACGTTAAAACCATACTTTAATACTTAAGATAAATTCTTAGCTAGACATATGGTTTAATCCTCAATGGTAGAAACCCATTTGTGCTTTTTTAAATACAAAACTTCTGAACATGAATCAACCTATATTTTCATTTTCTACTATTTGGGTGAGAATTAAAAACAGAAGTACCTGATTTAAGGTACTGATAAAATGAGATCTTTGAAAAAGAGGGGAATTTTTTTGTCTACTTGGCCTTATTAATGTAAGTAGAATTCTAAAAAATTAAAGATAAATTACATCCTAAACAGTATACTATAAAAGTCAAAAGCAATTCATAAAAAAATCTTTATAAGTGATTTCATTCTGTAGACTTCTAAGACATAAAATAATAAGCAGAATTACATCTTTGTGAAATACACACCTAGAACAAGTAGCTCAGAGCTGATACTATACTTAAAAGGAGAGTTTAGGTAATTTAATATTTGCATAATCAAAAACATGGGAAAAAACAGGACTCTGTTACCTGCCTAATTCACAGATGGTACACTTAACAGAGCTATAAAAATGACTAACAAATGGTTGTAAAGCAACCTATAAATATAAATGCCACTATAATAATTACAGTCAATTAGTAAGAAATTGCTTTGACTCTAAAAAGTACTCTATAATTCCCACAACTCCAACTAGAATTTTAGACTCAGAAAAGGAGAAAATGCAGTACCTGCTGGTAAAATGGCTACAAGAAACTATTCAATTTTATGTATCTGCAAAGAACTGGAAAGAAACAGACATAATCAGTAAAAGGTTTAGAATCTTGATTGATTTTCACAATGTTGTTGTTTACTTTCATAGTTTAAAATTTCAAATAAAGTATTATTTGACACAGCACCAAAAGTAAAAATTCTGGGAGGAGAAGGTACAGTAAATATGTGCTCCGAAAAAAGGAAATGAGATAAGAAACAATTTACTTGTAATACTAACACCACCTGACATATTAGAAGGTAGACAATAATGAACTGACAGAATTAAATATCGTAGTTTAATATTTCTAACAATCCTGAAATCTAAGAGAGGCCGTACTACAATTATCAAATGGAACATCAAATGACTCCTTCCAGTGGGACAGAGTAAAAACAAACCAAAAAAGGCAACTATCAATTAGTCTTATAAATGCCTGCATAAGGATGCAACTTAACTCCTTACTTCCTTACTCATTAAGGCCTGCTATTTATTTGAGCTTTCTAAGTTTGTTCTACCCTTTAACTGCTTAAAAGGTTAAGTAAGATACATACTCTCCCAAAGACAAGTACCAAATTATTTCACTCATTTGTGGAGTATATCAACAAAGCAAAACTGAAGTAACAAAACAGCGGCAGACTCACAGACTCCAAGAAGGGAGTAGCAGTTACCAAAAAGGGGTTGGGGAGGGAGAAAGGGATTAAGCAGCACTGTAATTAGCACACACAATATAGGTAGGTCATGAGGAAGGCAGTATAGCAGAAAGACAAGTAATGACTCTATAGCATCTTACTACACTGATGGGACAGTGATTGCAATGGGGTGGGGGGGGCCTTAGTATGGATGAATGTTGAAACCACAATGTTGCTCACGTGGAACCCTTATAAGATTGTTTATCAATGATACTTTAATTTTAAAAAAAGATATATACTCTCCCTCCAAACTCTATGCCCACAAAAATAAAAAGTTGGGAATAGTTTCATCCTTACAAACTTTAGGTTTTTCTTCTATTAAAATTTCCTATCTTATTAGAATCATTATGTACATGCTCTTTTAACCATATAAGGTTTCAGGCTAACTGAGGGTAGGGTCAATTGTACTGCATCTTTCTATGTAACTCACATAGCTTAGTAAGGAGTATTAATACTCAACTTTCTACAGACTATCCCCTAAGAAGAATTAAACCTTGGTGATTCTTTGCAACTTGGTTAAAAAACAAACAAGCAAAACCTCTAGAACTGCTAGAAAGATAGTATTCTCTCTTGAAGCAGGGTGTGAAGGGTGGGTAGGAGTGAGTATACTGTGGGCCTACTGTCAGTTAAGCACAAACCAGACTAAAAGGCCTCTTCACCTTTTCCCCTTCAAAGGAAGAGATCCAAGTCAGCCAGAGACTCTTAGTTAAGGACAGCGTCAGCTTATTCACTCCAGGGGACCTGGAGAAACTGATGTAATCTGGTTTAGTGATCTACAAGTACAGGAGAATAAAATCAAAGTTTAACCTATGAGCTACTGACCAGGTCAAAACCCAAAGATAATCCTAGAATATGGACTCTATAAAGAGTCCTATAAAAGCCATGGAATCCACGTTTTTCAAGAGAACCTAATCTATACCACATAAAGCTCACAGCAGTAGGACGTCACTGCAGACTCCAAGAGCACATCAACCTGACTGGCCCCTCACAAGTGAAAAGATGAGTATACTGTATATTAAACTTTCTGACCTACTCCAAGTCATTTCCTTGTCCTGTGGGTAGAAACAGAGCCAACTGGTAGAGCAGATGACCAATCAAGGCAATTCAATTTTCAAGATTCCAAAGTCTATGTTTGAAATGCCCAGAAAGAAATCTAGAAGGTTATACAATGGTGTCAACTGTTACCTCTAGGGAGGGATGTGAGATAAAGGTGAAAATGTGCAAAGAGGGCTTTCACTTATTATACATACACATTGTATTGTTTTAATTTTTCATGAGCATCAATTTTCTTCTGTATTTAAAAAACAATTATTTTAAGTAAAATTTTGAAATGTGATTCTATTTTTTTCAAGAAGATTGAATAGACCCACATAGAATTCAAATGAAAAATATATGGCATTTTATATAAGGTTGCCTACTGGAGATCTACAGATACAAAAGAATAATACAATTATCCCATCCTACAAATAAAAGGGAATATTGGCAATATAACAAAAATGCCCAGAGCAACTGTCACCCACTATTCAAGATTCACTACTATGATGATACAATATTAGCCACCAGAGGGAGTTTGAGTACCCTCTCCTCAAAATTATACCTACTCTAACAACACCCTTTTTAACTTTAACCTAATTAAAAAGTTAAGCTAGCAGAACTTTAGAATCTTAATACAATATTGTATCAATCCATGTCATAAAAATGTTTTAGCTATTGGCACCAGCAGAACACAGCCTCTCAGTTTTAATTTTGCATAAATAACTCACACACATACACATAAATTTACATTTCACTGAGATTCATGTCTGATTTCCTTACGATGAAAAAGTGTCCCAGTCTGAAAAGCAAACTACCTGTACAATCAATTCTATTATTTTAATGGGAGTGTTCATATTCTCCAACTGTTTGTCATAACAACTTTGAGGTTAAAAAAGTAAAAGGTAAAATTTATACAACAATGAATCCTGAAAAAAGAAGGGGGCACAAAGTATCCTCTGACAACAGTAATTCAACCATAACGCCCAACATAAATAATGTCATTATATATTTTAGCAAAGCAAAATATGACTAAGCATCTTTAAAAGTTAGTCTGTGACTTTAACATCTTAAAATTAAAGTATAAATAGCCAAAGTTATCCTATACTTTCTTTCAATTTTATTTTTTCTAAAAAATATTAAGAGCAATATTGAAAATGGCCAAAATCACCATAATTGGGGAAGACAGACAAAAATCACGAAGCAAATTATTTTGCAGAGGAGGACTTTTGTTTAAACTAGCTTATAATTCATAGTATAATCACAAAAAAATTTAAATATAAAGACATTACCGTGTACATCTCGTTTACCATCCTCCCATACTTCTCCTTCTCCCTTATCATTACATTTCCCCCATCGTTTTCCAGTATCTACCCATTTTCTTTATAGACAGAAGAGCAAACACAAGTTTATATTCTTATTCCACCCCTCCTCCCTTTAACACCTAGAGTAGCACATTACTCACCCTGTCCTACACCTTGTTTATTTCACTTTACAGCATATTTTGGAGATCTTTCCACGCCAATACACAGAAAACTTCCTTATTCTTATTTTCATAGCTGATCATGACTAGTTCTACCACATCTTGCATCTTCTTCAGGCTAACCTTTAATGATATTCTGTTCAGTCAACTACTAAATGCCTGAGTTAGTTTCCTTCCCCCTCCCCAAAATTTAAAACTAGATTTGAGGCATCCCAAGGAATAATTTTCAGAGAAAGCAACTCTCTAACTAAATTACAGCTTTTTCAGAATGTGTGTTTTTCAAGTAGATAGCAAACATTCCACAATTTTCCCCCTCTAGCACTTAAAGCTACAAATTAAAAAGCAATCCTCAAGTGAAATTACCTTTTTTTTACTTGGACGTTCAGCGAAATAGTCAAACCAACAATGTTTCTTTACTTCCTGTGCATTTCTTTCACTGCTGTAAAAGAAAAGGCTAATTAAAAAAAAAAAGTTAGTGAGCCCTCAAGCCACTGAGCAAGGCATCCTAATCGCAAGATACCACCACCTGATTTGATTTTTCATCGGCCTGGCCAAAAGCCCAGGCTTTTACCTTTCAGGATTCTGCTATTATCGACAGGACTTCTACACCAGCGAAAATACTCTCACGAATTTAAGCTCTGCGGCGCTATGTGCTGGAAATTACAAATCAGGGTCCAGAGCGCCAGGACCCTCTCTACAGAGACTCCAGCTCCGCTGGCGACAAGGGATCTAGAAAAGGCGACAGGGACCGGGGAGGCATGGGTCCACGGGAGAAAGAAGAACAGGCGCCGCGCGGCCAGCCCTCGAACCCGCACAGTCGCCAAGCCGCCCGCGTCCCTGGGCCAGAGTCCCGGAACCACGACCACTAACGGAACCAGCCCACGGGCGGCGGCGGTCGCCGCTCGGACAGCGGACCGCGATGCGCGGGCCGGGCACCGGGAGGGCGGGGGTTCCCCGGGGGAGCTGGCCGTCCCGGCGTTCCATTGGGCGCCGCTCCAAACGTGCCCGAGTTGTGACAGGAATAAAGTGGGTCACAAGGCCTAGCGGGTCCCCAGCAAAAGACCTCTCCGCACCGCGTCTCCTGCTTTCCCAGCAGCCCCGCTGCCGGAATCGGCCCCAACCCCTGGGCGCGCTCTGGCCCCCCGGCCCTGCCGTGCACCCCAATGCCGCCCCTACCCCGCAGGTAACCCCAGCTGCCCCAGAAGGCCCCTCCGCCAAGGCGGGCCTCCGCCCCAACTCCTGGGAAAAGACATACTAGGGTGACAGGCAAAACTTTAGTGCCGCCTTCCCCTCCCTTGGCCGCCGCCCCCCGGCCCCACAGACACACCGGCCCTCGCTCCCTCCCTTTCCCCGCGCCCTCACCGTGCGGCTTGCGGTGGCTCCGACTTCTTCCTTCCCCCACCCTCGGGTCTGGCTGCAGTGACTCGGCACCACCCACCCGGCTGCGTGGAGACACGCAGCTCCCAGCACGAGCAGCACCTGGGGCTGTGAGTGGCGCCCCCCACCCACCTCCAAAAATTTCACCGCTACTGCCACCCGCTCCTCCCCCTCCTTTCCTTTCCCCTCCTCCACCGGCACCGGGAGCACGCATGCGCCGCCGGGGCGAGCCTACCGGCGGACGTCAAACCCCGGGCCCACCCGGTGGAACGCACTCACAGGGAGCGCGCACGCGTCGGCAGCCAGATTTCCTTCGCGCTCCCGCTTTCGGGGGTTTCCTTTTTTAAGCCGGTAGCCGCAAGCCGCGTCTGTGATTGCGCTCCCGCTGGCGCATGCGTCGTCAAGGACCCCCGCGGGCTCCGCCGGCCGGCGCTCTGCGTGCGCCCCTCCCCTCACTCTCCCTTTTCCCGGCGCGTCTTGGTGCGCATGCGACCTACCCCGTTAGGCGGCGCGGAGCCTCGGCGGGGATCCCGGGCGCCCGAGGAGACTCCGGCTCCCTCGGGCCCTGCGTCTGCGCGGTTCGCGACCGCCATCGGGCGCGAAGGGAGACCGGCGTCTCCCAGTGCCCCGTTCTCCGCATGGTTCCTGGAAAGCTCGAGAGGCTGAGCGTGGTCGGACGGAGGGTGCGGTCGGTCGGGGGAGCATTAGCTTTAGTCCGGGCAGCTTTGGCTTTCACCCTGGTTTCGGGGAGTGAGAAGGAAGAGCTAGCTTCCTTTCGGATGAGGAATCTGGAGGCCATAGGGAACCATCTTCTTGAAAAGCAAAGCAGTTCGCCCACGTCAGGGAAGATTTTTTCCCTCTCCTGCGGTATTCGTGTTTCCTCTCCTAGGGCTTAGGTTTGCGAAGGGGGAATGGACTGCCAGCGTCGTCTTTTCCCCCTCCTGGAGGGTACTAGCACACTTTGGGTCGCTGCTTTTTGAGGGTAGGCCTGCGGAGGCAGGACGTGCGCCCTTGGCTGGAGGAGAGAGGCAGGTGGCTAGGATGTGTTCCCAAGGAGTTTTTATCACCTAGCCCTCTCAACCAGGTGACAATATAATGGAAGATGGAGGATGAAGCAGCAGGGATACATCAGGATCCTAATTTAGACGGCTTCCCTTGTTAGAAAAAGGGAAGCCTACCTGTCTTACGGGGGAAATTGATGCTTAAGCCATATTTCGTGCACATAGGAAAGCACAGTTCACTATTTGTAAATTACTGGAAAAGAGGTCTTTACAGTCCTAATTGCTATTATTTTTCATGTTTTAATGAATATCCTTTGGATTTGAAATAGAATCCACCTTTTTTCAAAAAATAAATTGTTGGCTGTAATATCCTGCATTCAAGGTAACATTCACTTCAGTAAACATTTCAAATTCTTGATGTATGCTCAGAGAAACAGACCAAAACTGAGGAACTTACTCAGATCCCTGGTCCTTCACCTAAAGATTTATCTGAAGACTTGGAAACCAGGATTTGATAACTCACTCCATCACATAGCAGGAGGGATTTTAGTAGACATTTTTACTTAGTCAGCATTCATTCCCTATGCTGATAATTTCCTTTTGAGAACTCAGTCCATATGACTGGGGCAGGACTCCTAGGGGAAAAAAATGTTTGGGTTAATTCTCTGTCTTAGGCTGGAGTTACCAAAAAAAGAGTGAGCTCCCTCTTTTCCTATGCATTTAAGTCATGAAATGGAGACCTGATGGATTCTGAGAAGGCAATGTGGAGAAAAGCAGCTTCAAAGACAGAGATTTGGCTTGCAGAAATGTTTGATGCTCTGAATCCAATGTGGACTACATATCCATGGAAATTGCTATTAATCAATAAGCTCTTTCATGTGTTTAATTGCTTAAACCAGTAATAGGTTTTCTGTCACTTGGAATCACAAATCCTGATACTAGTAACAAGAAAGGAGGCAAAGTTAACTGATAAAGTAGATCACAGCCAAAGGGATCTGAATGCCTTTACTAGGATGTTGATGTTTGGATTTTATTCTAGAGAAAGAGATCCCTCCTCAGATTCTACATAATCTAGAACACATATCCTCAAAAATACCTTTGCCCTTTTTAATGGTTCCATTGTCCTTAGTCACTAGAACCAAATCATGTTCATCTTTGCCTCCTTCTTCTCTCACTTTCTGCATTTAATCATTTACCAAGACCTGTTGATAATCCCATTTTTCTATTCAGTCCTCTGCCACTGCTTACATGTTTCCCATGGTTCAGTTCACCACTTATCCTTTCTCCCATATGCTCTCCCAAGAAGAAAACTAAGATATTTCCAATAAATTTTTCAGATTCCACTTTTACCTAAAAACAAAAATCTTGCCTCATAATTTCAATAGATCCTAAATTTACATTCACAGCCTAAATCCTCCTTAAATACAACTTACTTAACTCACATACTCTGTTCATTCCTTCATGAATACCTTACTATTAACGCATTTCTAACTTCCCAATTGATTCCCCAAGTTGATACCTTGATAGAGGCAATAGAGCATAGTGCTTAAAAGTACAGAATTGGAAACTAAACTGCCTGGATTTAAATCCCAGCCCCACCCTTTAATATCTGAATGGCTTTGACATTATTTCTCTGTTCAGTTTTCTTATCTGTAAAATGAGGATAATATTGAACTTGTCTTTCTGTAACATCTTACTATGTTAATAGTGACCACACTAGAGGGGGTGAGGATTTAATAATATGGGTAACTGTTGAACGACTGTGTTGTATATTTGAAACCAACATAAGATTGTATATCAATGGTACATCTACTAAAAAATAATGAACTTGTCTCATATGATAACTGAGAGGAGATATAGATGATAGATAATAGATATAGGAGTGTGTGTGTGTAATAGTACCTGGTACATAGAAATACCATCTAAGTGTTAATTATTAATGATGTTCCTTTTTGGGTGATTATCTTTTTTTCTGAAATTCTGCTCCTAGTTCCCTATGTCCCATCAGTCACAAAGTCCTGTCTGTTCTTTCATAATAACCTCTCTCATCCATCCTTTCATTGACATTCCTAGTTTTACCACCACAATTCAGTTTAAGGTGAATTGGAATATAGGAAGTTTAAGACATGCATAGGAATATTAAGGTAAGTTTCTTCACTTTTTAAGAAAACTCCATGGCTTAGCCAACTACCCATATTTTCTAGACCCTTTAAAGTAGAGGTAAGTGGCAGTGTTACAACTTTGTAGTAAAAAAATCCAGGCTTAAATACTAAGAGACACTGAGCAAGTTAAATAGTGTCTCTGAGTTTCAGGATACTTATCTGTAAAGTCAGAAAAACAAGCATCTCAGAATTGTGATGATCAAGTGTAGATTATAAACCGCTACATAAAGGTTGAGTGGTAAGGATGTTGGTTTTAGATCTTTACAGCTTGTTGCTGGAACCCTAGGAATACTTGAAACTACTCACAAATTTGAAACTTAAGTTTATACCTTCCTTCGGGTACTATATATATAGTTGGGTACTATATACACGTACGTATATATGTCCATTTGCCTACCTGATGTTTCCTCTTGGGTGTCTCAAATATTTTGGATGCCCTCCTCAATCTATTTTCCACAGAGCAGCAATAACAACTTTGGAAAATACATATGAACTCACATTTCTTACTTGAAAATCTTTTATTGTTTCCCATTACATCTAAATTTCTAATCATGGTCACAGTACTCTGATCTAGCGATTGCTATTTCTCCAAACTCATGTCCTTCATTTTCTCCTTTTCCAATAACTCCCACCTAGAACCTCACTCAGTTCCTCACTAATCGCTCTGTTCTCAAAGCCCTTGGCATATGCTGTGCCCTTACCTGGACCACCCTCCTACCTTTTCTTATGGCTGGCTCCTCAATCTTCATGTCTCAAAGATCTAATTGCCCTATTTTAGTAGGTCTCCCTCCCACCTTTCACCTGCCCCTACCAACAGGTACCCAGAGTTATTGTCTATTATTATGCCCACTGTTTCCTACATAATACTGATAAATTCAAATTAAACATGGATGTATTTGACATTTGTTTTCTTATTAACTATCTTTCCCCCCACCAAATGGTAAGCTCCAGGATGCAAAAGCATGTGTTTGTTCACCACTGTATATGCAGTATCTGTTTCAATGCCCTAGGTAAATTAATGAAAGGCAAAACATGCTAGAAGGATTTTTAGGATCATCTTTATATACCAAATTATGATTGTAGACAGCAGATCATAGTCTTATCAAGAGGTAGCCTTAGCAATGTGTAAAAGTACAAAGGACAGATAAACTGAAATCAATTAATTAATGTGATATAACTTGTGCTATGTTAGTAATCAAGTATTTGAGGGCCCACAAGAATATGTAACACTATAATAAACAAAGCTAACACCTATATAAGAAGATACTGAATGAGGTCCGAAAGAGGGAACAAAGCATGAAGTATCTCAGCTAAATACCTGCCAACACTTGGGGTAAGGGCTAAAAGCTGAACAAAACTGGACCTACCCTAGTCAAAACGTCCAACTCCCCACTCTCAGGCTACATAAGCAGAACACTTTGGAAGAGGAGAATGAGAGAATCATTGGAGCCACACCTTTTTAGGTTTATGGAGGTAACATGGCATTTCCTGAACTATCCCTAACGCAAGTCCAAGCCAAGCGAACAAGGCTACAATAGAATAAGCTAGAGGAATTGAAGGTGACTCTGGAGACACTGACATCTCATCCACTGGCAGATTTGTTGGTGAGCCCTGCACGTACAAAAACAGGAAGACAAAAACTTGGTAAGAAACAGCAGGCCAAGGAATGGGCTGGGTAAAGCAATGTGCACTCCCTGCAATTTCACATGGCAACAATGTAACTTTCTCCTGGATCCACTGACACTGTGTAGAAAGTGCCATTTAGGTTTGTTGAACCATCTTGACACCAAAGGAGAAAAAAAATTAAAGCAGCAAGAGGCTAGGTATACTTTTGGGGGTTGCAACTGAGTGACTAAGAGGGCTGCAGACTGTTAAGCAACTGTGCAATGGAGAGACTGCCTCAGAGTTTCTAGAAGAACTCAATGTGCCCATTAAAGAATGAACACTTAGATGCAATAGGATTGTACTTACCCAGTTAAAAGAAATTCATCCCTCTCTTCCCTGATCCTCCTCTCAGCCCCCAATACCAGAGGGAATGGGCCTTGAAAAGAGAGGAGAATTCGTGAAAAACAAATCCTACCTTCAGTCTTCAGAGTTCCTAAGTCACAAGTTAGCCAGAGAATACTTGTCTTGGAACTGAGATTGGAGTTATAAACCAGACAGATTTTGAATAATCTGAGTATGGAAGAAGAATAAAAAATCTCGAATATGCCCAAAATGTCTTTAAGGGATTTGCCACTCAGTGCCACTCAGTCACCTAAGAATCTCATTAAAATGAAAATTCCTATTCAGTTAAGCCCTTGATGGGGCCAGAAAGTCTGCATTCCTAACAAACTCCCTGCAGATGCTGCTAATTCAAGGACAATGCTTTGACAAACAGGTCACTATGAGGTAGGGAAGGGAGTTTCAAAGAGCATGGTTGGCAGCAAGGAATAGAGAATATTAGGTTGGACTATACGAAATATCCATTTTTTTAGGTCAAAACAGTTGAATTTGGCAATTTCAAAAAACCTTTTAAGTTGTATCCCATCAAATAAAAATTCATTCAATAAAATGGGAAATATAATATTAAATAGTAAATAATTTATCCACATTCTGACAAATATTTAGACCCTATTTAAATGAAAACATAAATGAAGTAGCATATGGAAGTAGTACTGACCTGTGTTGGCAGGCATGAATACTTGCTAGGAGAATGTGCATGTGTGTGTATACATCATTTGAAAAAGACTAGGCTGAAATCATCACTAACATGCTCTAATTTGACGATTTTTATAAATGGTAGTCTTCATGAACTGTGCTTGTGGATAAAAACTTGCTGCCACCTGGTGGATTTGAGTTAAGAATTAAAAGGGAAATATGTATCTTTTTATTCAGATACCTTAATTACTATTAATGCTGGGTAATAAACCCTTTCACCCCAAAGAACGTTTGGCTATCAATTTCTTTGGTCATACTGAATCCATAGCAAACTTGCCCGGGGCTGAAACCCATTGGCAAGACAATAGTAAACTTTAAAGTCTATTGATTTAAATTAAATGAACTTTCATGGTTTTCCTTCATCATTTTCATTCACAGGACTCTTTGGAAGTAAGCAAGAAATGCAGAGGACTTGTAATATTTGTGTTTTTGTCCAAAATAGGTCAGAGAAAGGATGAGCCACAGAAAAATATTAAGGGTTCAGTACAAATTCTAGTTTTGTTGGAGGCAATGAATATTCTGAAATACCTGAAAGTTTTTGAAATGGCACATAAGCTATAATTCTAATATAAAAATGAAAATTATACATTTCTAATCTATAATTTTCTAATCTCTGATTATAAAGGCAGTAAGGAATGAAAAAATTCAGTGCATAACTATTTTAAAGCTATTTATTAAATATTTCCTCTATTTCATATCATCATTATTACTGTTTGAACTACTACTGTCATCATAGGTAGAAGTGTTTCTAATTGAAGATACCATCAAATCTACAATTCCTTTTTTGGGGTTTTCTTCCAAATCAGTGTGTATTGCTCCAACTTCTGCTAGTTTCCATTCAAGCTCTGCAATAAATAACCCATCATAAAATCAGTTAAAAATCTTGGAAAAATGAAAAGAATTTCTCATCTTTCTGAAACATAAGTTGACTAATAAAGTTAATGTGGAAATCATGATATATATGAAGAACTACAATATCAAAATAAACATTGGATATAGCAAAGTTATACCTAGGGGGAGAAATTATGGTTAAAATGACTGAGAATAAGTGGTTTAAAAGTTCAAATCAAGAAACTAGGGAAAGAACAATAAAATAAACACAAGGGAAGCAGAAGGAGGGATATAATGAAGAAAAGACTTTAGTAAAGTAGAAAAACAAAATCAGTAGAGATAATCAACTAAGTCAAAAGCTAGTTATTTGAAAAAACTAATAGATATACCTCAGACAAAAATGATCACAAGAAAAGGAAAAGAACCAATAATATAATGCATTTGCAGTGAATATAACCAAGGTAAATATTTTAAAGATTTGAGACTATTATGTAAAAACTTATGCCAATACATTTGAAAACTTTAATGAGAAAATTTCAAAATACGAATTTCCAAAACATATCCAGGAGAAACCAAAAAGAATTGAATTGATAACCAAAAATCACCCATGCATGCAAATTCATCATTTTGTTAAATCTATTCCTGAGTACTAACTATATAGATAACAGGACATTTATGAGGAAAATACAAAATACACTAATGAGGAAAATTACAAAATACATTACAGTGCAAAATGTAACATATTTATGATAAAAATTACAGAAAACATAAAAAAGACCAAAATAAATGACAAGATATATTTCATTCATGGATAGGAACATTCACTGTTACTAGGATATCAAGTCCCCAACAATTAATTTATAAATATGACTTTAATAAGTAATCACAATTACTCAGAGAACTTGACTAATTCCAACACTTACACAAAACTTTGAAAAAAAACCTGCCGTACTAGAGACAACTAGATTGTTATAAAGCTATAGTAATTAACACAGTGTTTTACTGATTCAGGGATAGACAAATAGATCTGCAGGCTATAGAAGAGACTTCAGAACACATTAAAACATTTTTTTGAGCCATGAAAAATGCCATGGGAAACATAAAAATCAGTGGGGAAAACACCTTACACACATCAGGATGGTTACTACTAAAAAAAAAACCCCAGTATATAATAAGCATTGGTGAGTATGTGAAGAAACTGGAACTTTTATATACTGTTGACCAGAGTGTAAAATGGGGCAGCCACTATTGAAAATAGTATGTTGTCACTCAAGAAATTACAATAGAATTACCAAATGATCCAGCAATTCTACTTCCAATACCCAGAAGAATTGAAAACAGGGAATAAAAAAACATTATTTGTACATACACGTTCATAGCAGCCTTATTCACAGTAACCAAAAGGTAGAAGCAAACCAAGTATCCACCGACAGATATATGGATAAGCAAATGTGGTACAAACATACAATGGAATATTATTCAGCTTTAAAAAGGAAGGAAATTCTGATACATGTTATAACATGGATGAATGTTATGTGAACATATGTGACATTATGTTAAGTGAACTAAGCCAATCTTAAGAGGACAAATACTGCATGATTCATTTATATGAGATACTTAAAGTAGTCAAGGTCATAGACAAGTCAAGTCAGAAAGTAGAATGGTGGTTGCCAGATGCTAGAGGGAGAAGGGAATGGGAAGTTACTGTTTAATGGGCACAGAGCTGCAGTTTTGCAAGAGATGGATGGTAGTGATGGTAGCACAGCAGTGTGAATATACTTAATGTCACAGAGCTATTATACTTAAAAATGGTTTAATAAAGTAATATTTATTTATAAAATAAATAACTCCTGGGTATGTAATGTATGGTATGGTGACTACAGGTAATAATACTGTATTCTATACTTTAAAAATGGTTAAGATGGTAAATTTCATATTATGTGTATTTCATGAAAATTCTAAAAAAATTTAAATACACTAATAAAAAAACTATGGACCAGATAACATACTATTCATGATAGTGACTGCCTCTAGGAAGACAAGAGGGAATGGAGTAGGAATGGAAAAATAGATAAACTTCAACTATATCTGTGAAGTTTATTTCAATAAGAAATAAACAAATAACCGAAGCAAATATGAACAGATGTCCACATTCGTTATTTGGATAATGATTACACAAATGTTTGCTGTATTATTGCTTGTACTCTTATACATTAAATTTTTTTAATTAAAAGGATGAGGTCCTGCAACACAGAGAAGACAAGTAGTGATTTTACAGCATCTTATTACGCTGATGGGCAGTGACTGTGAAGGAGTATGTGGGGGGGACTTGGTGAAGGGGGAAGCCTAGTAAACATAATGTTCTTCGTGTAATTGTAGATTAATGATACCAAAATTTAAAAAAAAGGATGAGGTCCAAGCTGAAAAAAACAAGGTTGCAAAACAAAGAGGGGCCTTAGAGACGAGGAAAAGGAAAAGGAGGTAACTCTGTAAAATTACAGTGTTTGGAGGTCTCAGTAAGGTCAAAAGCAGTTTTAGGTGAATGAGAAAGTGAAAGAATAGTTGTCAAAAGCAGCTATTCACAATGGCTTTAACAGGATCATAAGAGAAAGGTTTTAATAATGTAGAATTAAAACAGTCCCCAGAAATGTCTAGATCAAGGCTGTGGTCTTAGAACTAGGTTAGGAAGTAAAAATTATTAAAGAAGACAAAAAAATGAAGTCCTTTGTTGTGTACTACGAAAAAGAAAATAATAGGAGACATGGTCCTTGTACTTGTTAGGGAGATAAAATTCAAGGGGAACTGATTAACTCAGAATTGATTAACAATTAAAGGAATTGTTAATGGATTAACAAAATTGGATAGTATGTGAATTAGTGAAAAATAAGCATATAGAGAATATACGCTATAGAAATTCAGTAGAGAAGAGGAACACAGATTATGAATTGGTCCAAAATCACTTAATAGGATAAATGAAAACCTAGGAGACCCTGAAAGAATAGGGTTTGAAAGGGAAAATAAAGAGGGATAGGTACTTTGGTTATTGGGAAAGAGTATGAAACAAAGTATAAGAGCACAAATGAGTAACGTGTGTCTGGGGTCGCTGTGGAAGACCAGCCTGGCTAGAGCAGAAACTAGAAAGTGTTGAGAAATATAGCTGAATTGATGCGCTGAAATTCTCAAGCATAAGATTCTGAATTTTTGACTTATTTGAGACAAGAAGCCATTAAGAATTTAAGCAAGTGGGTGTTATGATATAAGTATTATTGTAGGACAATTAACCTGAAGGCATACAAGAAGAGACTAGAAGCAAGGAGAAATACCTTTAAACTTTCATGATATTTGTTAATTTATCAGAGTTTTCAGCTTTTTTTAATAAAGAAAGCTTTAAAATAACATCATTACCTTCTAGTTTGAGATTCATCCCTCCACATTCTATAATTCCAATGAATTTGCCTTCTATCTGACCATTTTTATAAACAAAAATTGTTGGTAAACAATTGTCATGGTAGTGTTGAATACAGCTATTCACGATGGCTTTAACAAATTTAGTTTCTGGAAATTTGCTTGCTAGGAGACTAAGATGCTGGTTAACCAACAAACACATTGGGATGCTAAAAAGAGAAATGGTACATACAATATCTTTTAAAAACAGACTACTCATCTCAGTGTATTAAGTGAAACAGCTCCAAGACAGAAATATATCTTCAGATATTCTTTTAAATATAAGAGCATATCAATTATCCTCTACTGTTACCTTTAATAATGATGAACTGTAGAATCTTCTGATTTTTATTACAAACACAAATAAAGCCTGGGAGTGGAGCCTGCTACCATGTGAATCAGATGTCTAAGCCTTGATATAGCATTAACTGAATCAAGCCAGTTAATAGAACTCAGAGAATCCCTGGCAGTTCTGAGTTGACGCAAGGGGATCCCAACTCTTGTCACCAACATAGGCTTATTTACATGTGAGATTATCACATCCAAAATTCCTTATTTCAAACTTCTCTGAATTTCTTGACTCTGGCAAACGTCACCCTCACTTTTGACATCCTACTCCATGCAGCGTCCTGTTCCCCATTATCCAGAACTATCCCTCCCCAGAAATTTAAAATTGATAGAAGTGTGGCCAGAACCTGCAATTCTTCCTGCTCTACCACTTAACTCCCATTACACCTACTCTTCAGTTAGGGCCTTTGCTTCCAGTCTCTCACTCACTTGCAGCTTGATCAAACTATTTCAGAGCTAACCCCTACTACATTCCATATTCCTTCATTTCCTATGATACATTTCTCTCTTATTCAGCTTCCCACTTTTTCTGTTTCTTCAATCTTTCCTTCTCCACTTTATAGAAACATATTTAAGTTAACTTTTTTAAAAGTGCTTTACAACACCATGTCCCCTTCAAATAACTCTGTTCTCTTTCTCTCGTTCACAGCCCAGATGAAAAAGAAAATAAAAACCTCTATATTCTGTTCACTTTCCATCTTGAAAGAGTCTACTTTTTTGGCTTCTGTGATAACACTATTCATTAATTTCCTTTTTACTTCTTTGACTTCCTTCTTCTGTTTATGCCTCAAATATAGATATTCCTTGTCTGCTCATTCTAGACACATTCACATTCTCTTCTCATTCTAGACACTTTCACTAGGTAATCTTAACCATTCTGATATCAACAGCTATGAGCATATATATAATATTTCTTCTGTATTTTCTTAGTTTGGCACTCAGGCCAAAAGATTTCCCCATTCTTCTATATCTAATCAGTATCCAAGTCATATTGATTCTCCTCCTTATCTCATACCTGTCCTCTCTCCTCTTTCTCCATTACATACACTTCCCTTTCATATCCGGCTTTATCAGATTGTCCTAAATGGTCTGTTTCTAATCTTGGTTCCCCAAATTTATTAGTGACCTGTGACAAAGGGAGCTCAGCCCAAAAATCTCATTGTGTAACAACTGCCCTTTGCTCAAGCTTAAAATCCTTCAATGGCTCCTCACTGCCTTCAGCCTAAAGTCTGGGCTCCTCAGTGTAGCTTTCAGGGTTCTCCATGGTCTGACCCCTGCCTATCTCTCTAGAATTATTCTGTGTCTGCTACCAAATTACTTAATGTCCTCCAAAGCAAGTTGATGCCTCTTATTTCTATCCCTTTGTTCAAGCTATATACTCCATCTAAAATACACCATTCAGTCTGTAAACCTGGGTGATCTTATTTTTCGGGGCCAAGACCAAGAATTACTTACTCTATGGAAAATTACATTATTTCCTTCCTCCAAGGGTAAAACTTATTACTCCCTCATCAGTGAATTTACCTTGCTCTGTATAGAATTCAGCCATAGTACCTAAAAGACTGTTATTACATTTAATCATCTCCTTTACTATAATGAAAAATTTTAATGGCAGAGACAGATGTCTTATATGTCTTTGCATCTCCAGCATCTACATAATCCTCAGAAATCCTCTTAATACTAGGTGACATTACATATCAATTCATGGAGCAATAAGAAAAACAAATGCAGTATATGTTTAACTTTCATTTCAGAATACATGTATATCATTTCTTTTGATAATTATAACCTGCTACAAAAATCTAGATACTGCTTTATTTTAGTGGGTGACCTACAAAAATAATAGAAAAATATGTACTGCCTAACTTAAATAGTTTTCCATACCAAGCAATGACATAAATTAACTTTGTATGTTTCAACTTAAACAAATTCAACCTTTTATGAGTTTTTGAATATTATTTGTCAAAACAAGTAATTTATCTAGAAATAACCATTAAAATAAATTGCTTTATGCCATGGTATGAGTGTTCAGAACCAATTAATCATAATGGTTCTCAGAAAAGACATTGATTGAGCTACTGGATATTGAACACCAATCACACACAGTTCCCAATGTTGTAAATGTTGGGATTTCTCAAACTTATTTGTAAAGAACCAAAATCAGCAGCATTTATGAATTGGTTTAACCGGATTAAGAGCTACATGAAAAATGGGAAATGATTCTTTTTTAGGCTTTAAACTACTCAAAATTCAATTACCAAGCATTTCAGTTATAATAAAAGTAATGTCTTCTTTTATAGGGAATGATGTCCTATCAAAATTTGTCTGAGGAACTGATGAGCTGAAAACAGCAGAGCTCTAATTTACATAAATCACTCTGTGCAGAATTTCTCTGAGAACCTGAAGAGAGAATAAAAGTTTTATTCAGAGAATGAGGTAAGAACTTTGAGGGGCTACTGTCATGGCCTCCGTTCCTGGATTGGCTTGGAGTCCACACAGAAATGGGAATCTCAGCTAGAGAGGCTGTTTCTATGAAAAGATTTATGAAACTCTGGGAAAAGACACAGAGTTGAGGAAAATCTCACTTTCCCCAATTACCATGATACCAGGCTGGCAAGTACTGAGGACATTGGGGTTATACTTAGTACAAGACACTCTAAAATTAATTATCTGGAGGGAATAGGGGTGTATAAGGGAATTGTTCTGTTAAAAGAGACTTAACAGACATAATGCAATATAATGATTTATAAGAAATATGTATTTGGTCATTCAGATAACCAAAATATACTTCTCAGATATATTTGGTCTTCATTCAGTTCCTGTAAATGCTTCAGAGCCATAAAGGTGAAATGGGTGTCTTACTCTTAGTGAAGGTGACTTTTGGACCCACCTAAGGGCAGGTGCTGGTTGCTAGGAGGACCAATCATGATTAGAGAGTTAGAACTTTCAGCCCTCCCTGCACCCCAGGGGAGGGAAAGGGGCTGAAGGTTGAATCAGCCAATGGCCAATGACTGAGTCAATCATGACTATGTGATGAAGACAATATAAAAACCCAAGAGGGCAGCTTTTTTCTTTTTCAGAGAGCTTCCACATGCCACTGAGCCAGGTCTCATGAGAAAACCTCCTTTTTTTCTGGACCTCATTCTGTGTCCTTCTTTACCTGGTTGTTGATTAGCATCCTTTAAAAACCTGGTAAATATAAGTAAGTGTTTCCCTGAGTGCCGTGACACTCTAGCAAACTAATCAGACCTGAGGAGGAGGTCACTGGAACCTTTCATCTGTAGTCTGTGAGTGAGAAGCACAGGTAATAGCCTGCCCCTTGTCAGTGGCTTCTGAAGTAGAGTCTTACAGTGGGATCTGATGCTATCTCCAGGTAGACTGTGCCAGAATTGTTTGTTGTCATGCTGGGGGTAACCCACAACCACATTGGAACTGGGTTCAGGAACCCAATGATGAATCTAAATACACTGTGTAATACTTGATTGGATCCTTGTTAAAAAACTTATGTATTTATAAAAGACATTTTGAAGTCAGTTGAGGAATCTGAGTAAGGACTGGGGCAGTAGATGTTACTAGGAATTACTATTAATTTTTTATGTGAGAAAATGGCTTTGTGGTCATGTTAGAAAAATTCCTTTATGTTTTGAAGTTGCATGCTGAAGTACTTAGGGGTAAAGCACTATAACTATACTGTGTAATTTATGGTTCTGCAAATAAATACATCCACAAACAAAATGATACAAATATGGCAGAATGTTCATCATTTAATCTACCTGGGTATTATTAGGATGCTTTTTTTAATCACCCTTTCTACTTCTCTGTATGTTTGAAATTTTCCATAAGAAATTCGTTAAAGATTAACTGCCAAAGGTGCAAGGTGCTTATCTTTCTAAGAAGTATGACAGGTTCTTTAAATTAGACATGAAAATATATTAAAGTATCTCATTTAATCCCTGAAGCCAATGACATATATGTATACATGCATACACAAAGTTTTTTTCTTGAGTAATCTTTGTTATATGCTTTATAAAATCCTAAAACCAGACATAGGTATCTTAAAACATTGATATATTAACAACTTGCAAAAAAAATAATTACCTTGATCTGTATAGATGAATTACAACCCACACATCTTTTTCTGCATTTGTGACTTCATTCACATACTGATTTCCAGAAATTTCTCTTAATTCCCCAAATTTTTGCTTTTTCTTAAGAGCTTTCCATTCTTGTAACCTCTTTTCTCTAGTTAAAAAAAATGAAATGAAATTATGTTAGAAAATTATTATATTCCTAAGGTCATTCCTACATACAGTAACAATTTAGGGCAATGAATGTAATGCTAGTATATATCAAACACTTCAAAAAATGACAGAATAACTATTAAGGGTCTTATAATGCCAATTTCTCTTTTTATATGAGAATTTGTGTTATCATGGGTATTGCAAAATATAAGAAGTTGGTTAGCTATTACTTTTAAATTTGTTTATTTAAGACTAGCTCTTGACCATAGCTATAGAGTTTATTTAGACTGGGGCCAACAAATTATCATACTATGTTACATTAATTTAATCCTTGCAAAAACTTTATGAAATCAGTACCATTATTATCACCATTTATATGTTCTTAACTATCATGCTAAGCTGACCTTCAGTCCAAAGTCTTTGTGAATATGTGTAACTACTTGTCATAAATTTATTGCAGGTAGAGAGGTGTAGAGAAGAGAGATTATAAATTTGGACTCTAAGGTCACACTAAACTGGGTTTAAATGCCAGCTCCTACTTACTAGTAGTATGAACTTAGGCAAGTTATTTAATCTCTTTACACTTCAGTCTCTCCAACTGCAAATGGGAATAATACTAATACCTATTCATATGGTATTGTTAGGAATTAAATGAAATAATACATCTAATTTTATTAAAATGGTGCCTAGCACACAGTGAACATTCAATAAATGTTACCTAGTTGTTCATCCAGAGAGAACCTTAAAACTTTGTGAAACAACTCTCTCAGAATTCACATACTTCGATTTATTTGATGAATGCTTGGATTCCTGAAGCAAATCCAAGTAAGATAAGGGAGGGACATGGGACAAGGGTCATGCCATTGTAAAACCTACTTAGCCTGCAAAAAAGGCCCAGCTCATTCTTTAGCTTAATAGATATGCTGTTCTTCCTCATCTTGCAGCCGCTTGAACAATTAAGTAACTTTGTAACCAGGATGAGAGACAGAACTCTGGAGCACAAATAAACCTACATGGTTTTATTTGAGATCTGAATCAACAGTCACCATTTTAAACAGCCCCATTCTTAAGACAAAACTTCAAATTATTAATCACCTAGGTATATCATGCCTTATGCCGACCCTACCCAAAAAGCCCTATAAAACCCCAAATCCTAAACCCTTAGGCATGCCTCCTCTCTGAGGTCACCTGCACACCCATCTGTGCACTGTCTTATCCAGTAGAATTTTTTGTTGCAAAAACCTATTGCACTTAGTCTCTGAACTCTTTTTCATGATAAAAATAAGAACTTGTCAACCTCCACCTTTGGTGGGAAGTGTCTTTGTCACTTCGCTATTTCATTCAGCTTTCTAGTCTTAATGCAATCCTTTTTCTCCCTCCTTATTTTATTTCAGAAGAGTAGGGAAGTGGAAGTTCTCAGAATAAAATCTCACTCCATCCAGTAGTCTGTGACTCCCCCAATTCTGGGGGAGTAGGGATATAATTCCTGTGCCATACAGATCAAGCAGACACTGGATACCAGGTGACCCTGGCTTTAGGGATTGGCAAGGGATTTTCCCTATGCCAAGCAGGAATTGAATGGATTTTCCTTTTCTCTCTATTCTTTCTTGCTCTCTGCTGCCTGCATGGCTGCTGATGTTCTCTACTAATTTTGCTTTAATTAATTCCTTTCTTGCTGGCACTTGTTCGACCTGATCAAGAATTCTTCCTCTGTCAGAATCATGAGCCCTTCCCTGTCTGGTTGAGGTTTCACCTAGTGCAAAGGGAGAGACCTCCCCAGACGCAGCTGTCCAGCAACACAGTCGTTTCTGACATATCTCTGTTTCTTAGAAGTTATTGATTCTATATCTAAATTGCTTGGTAGTACTTACTCCCCTTCTTTCTCTATGTACTAACTATATTTTCTGCATTCTTGATGCTCTGGCATCTGGGACCTTGTTGATCCTGGAGAGACTGCTCCTCCAAGGGCTAGCTAATTCCTAAAGATAGCAAGCACTCACCAGAGAGCATATTTCTCAGAAGCAAACCAACCAACTCAGAGTGCATTCCCTCAACCACCTACTTTACTAGGCTGAGCCACTACCCCACTCCCTAATCATCCATGGGCCAGGAACCAGACACGTAGAGATAGGTCTGCCAAAATTATTCAAACTAGCCAATCCTAAATCTGCTTACCCTGGTAGCTTGCCTTTCTAATAGAAATCACAATAAAGCCTTGTGTCCAGGCTATCTCCCGACTCATTCTGCCTCTTGACCAACTCTGGTGCTTCTCTCTGTGGTGGTCCTGCATTGTGGGGAATTCCCCCTACTCTTGAGAACTGTGAACAAAAAACTGTCTTTTCAATGGCAGTTATCTCCTGATCTATTGGCTTTGCCATATCTGAATAAATACAAAATCCTTGGAATATTTTTAAACACTTCATGCTTATTTCATTTCTATTAGAAAATGTCATGCAAAACCACTTGCTTTACAGAACAAGTAGTCCAAGCAAAATGAAGCCTAGAGAGTGTCAATAATAGTAATCCAAGTCTAGGGCCCTCTCAGTTTTCAAACAAGTTCTTCAACTTTCCTCTACTAGCCTACCTGTTCAGAACTCACAATTACTCCAAAGATCTTCTGGGAGCCCTATTTTTTTTTTTCATTTCTATTAGAAAATGTCATGCAAAACCACTTGCTTTACAGAACAAGTAGTCCAAGCAAAATGAAGCCTAGAGAGTGTCAATAATAGTAATCCAAGTCTAGGGCCCTCTCAGTTTTCAAACAAGTTCTTCAACTTTCCTCTACTAGCCTACCTGTTCAGAACTCACAATTACTCCAAAGATCTTCTGGGAGCCCTATTTTTTTTTGCACTGAATATTCAGTATCACATCATTCACTTTCTTCAATTTGATCTTCCAAAAATTTCAAAATTTTTGTTCCAATGGTGGTAACATGCCCTACTTAATGGCACAACTGTCAATTAATTCCCTTCCTCCTCTCCTCCTTCACCCTCTCCTCCTGATTTTTCCTTGTTATTTCAATGGAATTGGCCAGGGAGAGACAAACACGTGGCCTGTTTTTACCATGAGAAGTGACATAGTGTTCAGTGACCTGCATTTTTTACATAATAATGATGTCAGTTGGGATTCAGTTGCATAAACAGAAAACCCTCTAGCTATTTTAAGCAGCAAGAAGCTTAATATGGGGAATTAAGGGCTTTTTAAGCTCAATGAAAAGGAAGAGGAGGAGGCTCTGGATTAGCCTACCAGGAATGACTCCCAGAAAAGCACTGCAAAACTGGTCTGCCAAGGGAACAGCTTTCTCTACTGCAATCCAGAAACCGGAGCTACTGTTCTAATTATGCCCTAGTATCAAATTACTCTGGGGATCAGAAAACCACTGTAACAACTGTTGTCTCTAAGAACCTATCTCCTTAGAAAAGAATGAGAGAAAGTATTCACAATGACACACATGATAAGGGTCTGTTATCCAAAATAAAGAACTCTAAAAACCCATTAAGAAAATAACCTGATTAAAAAATGGACCAAAGACTTTGACACCTCACCGAAGAAGATATACAGATGACAAAAAGGCATATAAAAAGATTCCCCAAATCTATGTCATCAGAGAAATGCAAATTATAGCAAGAGACCACCTATTGGAATGAACAAAATCTGGAACACCAACACCACCAAATGCTGGAGAAGATGTGGAGCAGCATTAACCCTCATACATTGTTGGTGGGAATGCAAAATGGTAGAGCATTTGGAGGTTTCTTATAAAACTAAACATACTCTTACCATATGATCCAGCTATTATGCTCCCTGGAATTTACACAGAGGAGTCAATAACACATCCACACAAAAAACTCCACATTTATAGCAGGTTTATTCATCATTGCCAAAACTTGGAAACAATCAAGATATCCTTCAGTAGATGAATGGAAAAATAAACATGGTATGCTCAGATAATGGAATATTATTGAATGCTAAAAAGAAATGAGCTATCCAAACCATGAAGAACCACTAAACGCATATTACCAAGTGAAAGAAAACAATCTGAAAAGGCTACATACTGTATGACCCCAACTATATGACAATCTGAATAAAACAAAACTATGGAGACAAAAAGATTAACGATTGCCAGGGTTTGGCAGTGGGGAGGGATGAACAGGCTGACCACAGAGGATTTTCAGGACAGTGAAAACACTCCATATGATATTGTAATGATGGATACATGTCATCATGCATTTGTCCAAACCCATTGTATACCATAGAAAGTACACTGTAATGTGCATTATGGACTCTGAGTGATTATGATGTAGCAATGTACATTCATCATTTATAACAAATAATATTATTCTGGTAGGGGATGTTGATAATGGGAAAGGCTATGTATACATGTCAGGGCAGACAGTATTTTGGAAATCTCTATACCTTCTACTCAATTTTGCTGTGAACCTAAAACTGCTTTTTTAAAAATATACCCCAATTTTTTTTGTTGTTCTTTTGTTTGGCTTTAAATGAGGAATTTGCTTTGAATCAGCACTATCAAGAAGACTGCAAAATTTTCTCTTCATGAGAATGAATAATATTTTGAAAGGCTATAGTTTTTTCCTCAGATCAAAAGTGACAGCAGAGACATGAAAATAACACTGTAAACTGATAGCAATTAGAGTTGGACTTTTGAATGTGGAATATGCAAGTAAAAGAACTTCTATACATAATATCTTCTTTAACCCTGTGGCAGAAACTGGTTAAACAGCCATTGGCATAGCTTCCTGTTCCAGGACTCCAGGAAGGCATTTGCTACCCGAGTGAAAGTGGTATGTGCATTTCTATGACTCATCCCTAAAATGTCCCATGCCATCTTTCACACTATTTTCCTGGTCCACAAGGTTACATCATGAGGGGATGAAAAGGGGATGATGTTGCCCTTAATGAAAAGAAAATCATATGATGTGCATCCCATTAGGACTTACTTGATGTCCGCATGTAGTGTTGGTCCTTAAGATCACTGCCAAAATTCCACACTGTAATTATTATTTCTTCCTTTACAGTTACTAAATATTTGGAGGCAGATACTTTGAGATTATGCAAATAACCTGTTTCTATTTAAACTTTCACCATTTCAGAACTTGCCCGTTTGGATTATAACTGTGGTGTTCCAAAGATGATTTTTCTCTTTTCCTTATTCCACCTATACTTACTAATTGGAATTCTTCAGTGAGAAAGAGTTACTAGTGCCTCTAAGTTTGTTAATGTATTCAGTTATTTATGTTACTATAGACTCATGGATATTTATTTCATTTTATAATCCAATATTATGATTATTTTGTTGTTCAAGTTGTTCCAGCTTTGGCTATTGTAAGATCTTTTAGTTTGATTTCTGTACCTTTAAAAAAAATATTTAGCATTTTCTTACTTTTTGGTACCACAAGATTCTCCAGACTCATATTGTATTTTCTCAATTCACATTATGGAATAAAGCAGTTCTCCAAGAAACACTGGTTCCTTTTATCAGAGAATAGTATTTATGAAGCAGTAGTTGAGAGCTAGGTGTACTCATTGCTACTGCAGTGTTGCTGCTTCTAACCAAATTCATTGGTTTTTTAAAAATATTAAAACAATCTTGCATCCTTGAGAATTCCCACTTGATAAGGATGTATTACCATTGCTTAAATTACTGGACTTAATTTGATAATATATTGTTAAAACTTTCATGCCTACATTCAGAAGAGATATTCTTCTGTAGCATTCTGTTTTCATGATTTGTCTGGCCTTTGTATCAGGATAAGTTGGGAAATAAATCTACCTATTCTAATTTCTGAAATAATTTGTTTATGACTGGTAACTAATTTTTCATTAAATTATAGAAACTGGTGATAGATATCATGCTAGAAGGAAAATCATGGCACTATTTTTAATGGCCTTTATTAATATTTTCCACTTCACTCATATGTAACTTAATGAAATTCTGCTGTACATCAGTTTTTTATTTAAAGCAAAGGCAAAAATTTTAGGAAAAAAATTCCATCTTACATAAAGTGAGTTAATTTTAAAATACTACTTGAAATTTACTTCTATTCTTTTTAAAATCTATTCTGCAGACAAAATAGGGCTTTTCCATAGTTTCATTTTTATATCATTTCTTCATTCAAAAGCTCTCATTACCCAAATGAGTCACTGTACCTATATGTTTCAATAGCTCTCATATCTTCATCATCAAATTCATCTTCAGCTTCCTTCAACTGTTCAAGAGTCATCTTTTCATATGGTTTAACTAAAAATAAATTGTAGATAAATGAATTGTTCAAAATTGATTTTTATTTTATAGTCACATGTCTAGAAAAAGACAATATATTAAATAAAGGTGGAGCAAGAATATCTTGAATGTCACAGTTTCTTCAATACATGAAGCTTTTTGTGGCTGACTGCATCAGGTTTGTTCAAAGTGCTATTACTCCTGCAGAACTATCAGGTTACATTAAAAGTAGATATGAAAATCATCTAGACCCTATATATTTAGATTTTCCCAAGTACCTGGAAATCTTCACTAATAATGTATACTATATAGAATAATCTAAATAGAAGGTAAACCCAAGGGAGGGGAATAGGGTAGAAAAAAAAATCCCACCAAGTTGGATACCAGTGTATTTTAGCTGTATTATTAACTAGGATGTGACTTTCAACACATGAATTGGGAATTTTAGGTTTCAGCATCTTAAGTTCAAAAGTAATGGTAGGTTTTGTATTCAATGCTTTCTAATATCTTCTCTCCCACTAAGTTCATGACATGCACTCTCACTCTCATAACTATATCATTCCCTTCATCCAGCTGGTGAAAACCCAACTATACCCATTGCTTCTTCCTGTAAACATGAAACCATTTCTTCAGTTTCATCCTGTGCTTTTTCTTTTGGAGGAAGAATGCCAAAATCTCTCAAAATTTCATTCCATTCTGTATCTTCATTTGGATCCTATATAAAAAATTAGAAAACGTATTAACAAGATTGGCTCAAAGATGGTACATGAGAGGTGAGACAGAAACCTCCCCAAACCACATATAATATGAAAATATAGCAAATACAGCTAATCCCAAAAGAACAACAGGAAAGAAGGATGCGACATATGCCTACATCTAGGGAAAAAAGCAGACCTCACAGAAAAGAGTAAAGCACCAAAGCCACAATCCAGTAGAACCCAAGCCCTTCCCCCACCCCAGCTCACTGGAGGCAAGAAGAGAAATGGAGCAGGGAAGGGGTGGAGGCCTAGGACTGCTGAACACCAAGCCTTGGAGATCTGCTCTGGGAGCATGAACCCACATTGAATGGTGCTCTGGAGTTTAGTGGGATTGGAAAGCTAAGATAGGCAGAATACTTGGAGAGACTAAGATTTGAGCCACTAGCAGAGAACAATTACCCATAACCAGCTGCTCTGGGACAAAAGCAAGGCAGGTACTCTTAGAGACATCCCAACAGTGATAGGGCTACTAAAGAACTTGCTGCTCAGGAAAAAGGACAGGTAAACAAAATTGTCCTGGTGCACACAGCCCAGCAGATTGGGAACTTTTAGGAGCTTCAGGTGCTCCATCCCTCTGGCTAGCAATGCAGCTCTGAGGTCCCCCACCACAATAGGCAGCCAACCCTCCTTCCTCCCAGCTGGCACCAGCTCCCATATCTGATGACCCTGCCATTGCACCAGGCCAGCCAGAGGGCAGTCCCATCTATGGTAACTACAACGGCGTAGCATAGAGACTCCTCCCTGCATGCTCGGCCCACTGGCCCTGGCAGTGGAGGCAAATACTGAAGCCAGAAAGCAGGAAAGAGCTCTTTCCTCCTGGCAGGTGCCAGCACCACTCACTGGCAACTCCTGCCATCACTCCAGGGGCAGAGATGCTCCAGAGAAAGAGATTCTGGGCATTAGAGGGCATTGCCTACACCAAGTTCTACAAATATGAAACATCAAAATACCTGGTACAAACCAAAATCCCACAAACAACAGAAAGAGGGCTGAGTGAAACAGAACTCACCAATTGTCCTGAAAAAGATTTCAAATTAAAAATTATAAACATGCTCACAAAGTTACAGAAAAAATTCAAGACCTAAGGTAGGAATTCAAGAAAGATAGAAACTTGGAAAAATATAGTATCTGAAATGAAACATACAATGGGGGGATTAAAAGCAGATTAGATGAAGTTGAGAAGATGGTAAATAAAATAGAAATTAGAGAACAGGAATGCAAAGAAGGTGAGGCACAGAGAGCAAAAAGGATCTCTGCAATGAAAGAATATTAAGAGAACTGT